GTATTAGAGAACTTTCTGTGGGGTACTTTTACTTCTATTTTATAGAATATTATAGCAATATTTAAGATAATTCAATTAAAAATAATTTAAAATGGTCTTTTAATAACTGGAATAATACGATATTAAATCTTTAAATGATCATGTACAATTATCGAAAAAATTGAAACAGAGACAATAGTAAATAAAGTTGGGACCAAAGCGATAGTTGAAAAATTAGCACTTAGCACAATCTGCAACATTATTAAAATGAATCTCATTCATATACGACAATATTTAAAATATTGCATACATTTAGGATGAGATATGTATGCAATCTTTAAAATAGAATAAAAAAAACTTAGAGAGACGTTCGAAGCTCGAATTTAAGGGTTAGCTGTGTAAGTTAAGAAAAAAATGGTATTTACCGTTATCTTTCTGAATTAATAGAAATGTACATAAGCTTGTAGTTTCAGAAAAATATGACAAATTTCAAGATGCGATAACTTGAGAGAGGTAGGAGTTTGGAAAAAATTTTCTTCTAACGAAATAAACAATTAATTAGTATCTAAAAGCTGCTAAAATTTTATTTAAAGATCTATTTAGATACATATAAGATTTCGGCTTTCTAACTACATTTTTTAAAATTTTTTTTTTGAAACAGTAAATCAGTTAGAAATATTGTTTTTTTTTCCTAGTAATTTCTAAATTAAATTATCCTATTCGATATTATGCAGGGAAAATTTATTGAAAAAAAAATTATAATTCCGAACAAACAGCCGATTAATAAGATTTGGATTTGCAACTACCATGTTAAAAATTTACCCGAATTTTAGAGAATTTTGGGGCGATCTATACCTAATCATTAATTATTATTAAAATACAGTAAATACGGAAATAATTTTCAAAAATTATACAAAGTTGTTAAATTTCGTATTGTTTTGAAATTTTACTTACAGCTTATCCAAAAATTATAGTTATTTAGATGACTTACCTGAAAAGAAAAGGAAAAATTTATTAATTAAATTGTTTTATTATTTAAATTTAAAAATATGAACTGTAAAATCTTTGAAAATTGTAGAGGACAATGCAATTTTTAATTAGTGCCCTATATTAGAATTAAATACTATGAGAGACACAGAAAAACCTGCTTTACTGCTACTAAAAATGTTTACCTTAAATGTTTACCTTAACTGTAATAATAAATTGAGTCTTAAATGTGTATAAGAATCTTAAACATTTAAATAAATTATACACAATGATGGTTTCACTGGGAATCGTCCTTTATCATATGGTTCACATCTTTTTTCATGCACAAGTTTTAGGGAACGAAAAATACTTAAATTATATTCTTTATTCCACTTTAAAATTTTTAATGAAAATCAAAATTTCCTTAAATTTTATTAAAACCAGAAATGCATACATACATACGGAGTTGCTTTTGTTTGAAGCCCAAAAAGATTGAATCTATATTTTTTTTTTATTTTTTTTTTTATTTTAGAAAGAAATTAAATAAAACTGTTTTACAACACATTAACGAAATCCTCTTTGAATACTTTTTATATGCAGTCAAGTTAAGTACATCTTGACTTCAATATGTTTTCCATTAAACCCTTATTTTCTCTTCATATCACTTATATACGCATACATATACATAAACATGTATTTATTATTTCCGTCAGAGTTTGCAATATTCATAGCATAAGAGCTTTCATTAAAAGAAATAAAAATTAAAATGAAAAAAAAAAATGGAAAAGGAAAATTTCAAGGAAATAATAATTCATATATGTATATTACATGTGTGTATGTACATATGTACAGTCTGGAAGAAATTTAAATAACCGATTTTGTTTATGGTGAAAAGAAAGTTGATAATTTTCTTAAAGAAATATCGGTTATTTTTGAAGGAATTATGCGAAAAATATAGGATTTAGGAAAATTACTTTTTGATCCTTCAAATATTTATTAGGAAGTTTTGAGTTTATTGATTCTAAATTTTTTAAATATGCGTCTATCAAAACTTAACTTTTTGCCAAAAGCGCATTACTTAAGCTTGTAAAATGAAACGTGTATTATTTTCTACAAAAATCTAGCTTATTCGATTCAATTATCTGAGTATATCAAAAAATTTCCTTGCGTTTGCTATCTTTTTGGGGCGACTTCCTATTATAATTGCATTTTTTTTCGTCACACACTGTACATAAGCATATTTACCGAATATAAATGTATTTAAGTGTATTTTATACATTTGTAACATAAATTTTAAAATGTCAATAGTAAAACTCTTCTTAGCTATCAAGAACATTTACTTTTTTAAAAAAGTTAAATATTTTCTATTTTTTTTTCTTTCTATATATTCAGATCCGGTTTTAAGAAAAATAACAAAAAATATTTTATTAATGACTGCATATATTGGAGTATAGAACACACAAAACATACATGTAAAATATATTTATCCTAAGGACCTTCTTAAGATTTTGTTCTTAAAAATTTCTTAAAATATCTCATTGAATTTCATAAAAATGGGGAATGAAATTTTTTAAAATATAAAATAGAAAAACAAAATGTAAATGGAAAATGTTACATAATTCTTACGTTTATTTATAATAGAATTTAGGAAGTTTTAACATAAGATTAAATAATGTCCTTTACAGTTTTCTTTAAATATAGCTAAAAATTTTGAAATTTTAAATGAGAAATCTTTATTCTTTTAAACTGAAATTTTAATCAAAAGAAAATATTATGTGATGAACAAAAAAACATAAAATTTTTTAATGGAAAATACCAATAACCTGATTTTGAAAATAACAATATTTTGTTTACATTGCCCTATATTTCAAAATTAATGTATATGAAGGACCCCGCATTATGTAAGATTATACAAGAATTATTAATTTATGAAAATATTCTTAAATTTTCATTCTAATAAATTTACAGTAACGTAAATTCATAGTTATAAATATTTCTGCAACATTAAGTAAAAATTCTAATGTAAAATGAGAGAGTAATTTCCAATTATTATTCAATAAGATTCAACATTATTTGTCCTAATTTAACCTTAAGCCATAGGCTTTTCTTGAACTATTGAAAATGGTGATAAAATTGAGAAAATGCTTTATTATGCCTTTATACGGAAGTGCACTGTAATAATTTACAAATCCATTTTAAACGAATTTAAAAACATTCAACCCCTAAAAATATGCAATTTTCGGCTTCTTTTCATAATTAAATTAATTAACTCTATCAGTTATTCTGGAATAGGACAATATTTAATTAATTTAATTTAATTTATAAAATTTGATCAAAATTAAAATTAACTGTTGAAAATTTGTCAAGAATTTGCAAATTTTCCTGTCACAAAAAATTTAAATTTTTCCAAATTTTTGATTCTGAAATATTTTAATTTCTTTAATTTCAATTGAAATATGCGAAACTTGTTTTCATTGCAACAATAGGAGTCATTTAGGTAATTTGCCCAAAAAATTTAATAAATTGTCTATACAATATCTCTTTTAATTTATTTCATCAAAGATCCATTTCTACAATACCCAATCCTAATAGGTCTAAGAATTTATAAAAAAAATTCTATAAATTTCTACCTTCCATTTCTATTAAATTCCAATATTTGTTTTAATATCCTTTTATTATTATTGTTATTATAGGATATCCTTTTTTTATTATTGAAAAAAAAAATTAAGGACATCCTTTATTTTTCATTTTTATTTTGTAAATGCTAGACATGCCGACACAAAGTACTGTTTTTTTTATACTTTCTTGTTATTGTAAAATTGTTATTTTGTTGCGAATCAAAAAAAGGAAACGAAATTTATTTTAGAAAATTCTATGAACAGGTCACCGAATTTATCTCACATTAAATATTTATATACAATTGAATTTCAACCCAGCTTCTTCATAAGAAATGTCTGTAAATGTTCAATGATTTTCCTATATTTTAATTAATTTTTTTAATATTATAAAAGTAGACTAAATAAACAGGCATTCATATTTGCGATCCAACTTAGTTAATATAAGCATATTTCATATTAAAATATATTGAAATCCAGAAAATGCATATTTGTAGTGAAACTACTTACTATTTATTTAACATTTTTAAAAATCGTTTAAGAAATGAGTGTTTAAAATTAAATATAAGGGAATAAAGGGTGCACACTCATTTTTCTCATATTGTGCCCAAAATTATTAAGAAGGTTAAATTTGAAATTCTTTTTGAAACGTGTCTTTTATTAATAAATGAAATTCAATCGAATGAAAAATTATAACGATTGTCCACCATTACCAATATTCAGGGTGAAAAAAAAACGTTTAAACTTTTTTGATATGAACAAAGAAATTCCAATTTTTAATGAATTTAAAATGAACCAAAAGAAAAAAACAGAAGAAGGCAAAAAATAAAATCGCCATATCCTTGACAAGAAATATGATATAGGGGGGAGAAAATCATGAAAAAAAAAACTTACTCCCTACGCATACGTTTAAATTGTTTTAATGAAAATTTTAATAAAAATTTCAAAATCACGAAAAATAATGAATAATTTCCAAAAATTTTCTTTTTTTTTTCCTCTCTAATTTTATAAAAACAATTCTCATACTCTGCTATTGTTTTTTTCATATTTATAACCTGAAACTGATGATGATCAAATTTAACAAAATTCACGAATATTCTATTAAAAAATCCTCCTACAATCATTATTTTTTTCATCGCCTCCTTTGGAAAATGAAAATTCTATATTAAATGCTAATTATAATTTAAAAATATAAAATTTTACGCGTGTATTTAAATTTAAAATCACACTTAAAAGAAACGAATGCCCTTGATTACGCGTTGCTTACTACTATAACGTAAGAAATAGAACGATACGAGCTTAAACTCACCCACATTAGGATTCAACAGCAAATATGAATTCACAGATTTTTTCGCCCAAATTTTTAATAGATCAAAATACAAATTTTCTTATACTATTGACTGCATATTAAAAATTTTTCTTTAATTTTTCTAATTTCAGCAATTCAGCAAAAATCTTCATTTCTATTTTAATTTCGAACCAACATCATTTTAACTAACATTGACAAAGTTATTATTCAAAAAGGGTAAGTAGATTTATAAAAATAAAAAAAAACTTTTTTAAAATTTTACTTTAAAATTAATAAAACAAATTTAATTGAAAGTTGCGCCTATTTGAAATGTACAGAAAATGTCTACTTTCTGAGCACTGGAAAGGCTAAAATTATAAGAATAATGATGAGATTTTCATAGTACCTGCAGCAATTTCGTCACCGAAAACAATTCCAAAATACATTTTCAAGCAGCTACATAATTTTTTTTAAGTATAGGTCGTGTTCAATAAATTTCAATATTAAATTTTCACATAGAAAGAACATTTGGACTGAATTTTCTCATTTTAATCAAAACTTCCAATTTTAATTTTCTCAAAAATTCATCAATATCACTCACTTTGTATATATATCTAGGATGCTATACACAAACATACACAAAATACAGTATATAAGTAAAGTATCAAATATATCGAATCATAAAATCTTAATTGTTGACGCATTAATTTTCTATTATCATTAGAATTGAATTTTAATACAAAAAAAAGCATAACAGAAAATAAATTTCTTTTTAAAAAAGTTATTCCAGGAAAAATATTTTCGTTAATTTTCCATTATAATTTTTTTAACTATTATCGTTTTTCTCGTATACAATGCTGTTTTCGCCATTGGCATAATTTTTTATTGAAATTTAAACTTCCTTAAAGTATATGTAGGTATAGGTAACATTGTTAAGGAAAATATCTCTTCTATATATCAATACTATATTAAGGAAGCGAACAACAATCCTGTGTATAGTAAACCAATATTAAAAAACTTTATTCTCTCAATAACGTTAAACAAACAAGACACGAAAAAAAAAATTGAGGAAGAGAAATTATGCTTAAAAGGTGCTTAAAGGTAATAAAACACGGTATTATACCATCGCTATTGCCACCACCATTACCACCGCCACCACCGTCATCATTTCCATTTATTAATTCTCTGAATCTCATTTTCCATTCATTTTTATGTTTAAGAATAAATTGTTGATAACTATAGGAATTCTTTAATTGAATTTCTTCAAAAAAGAAAAAAAAAGTAGGAAAACAAAACAAAGAAAATGTCAAATAAATATTATCGGGATCTTTAAATAATAAGGTCCTTGAAAAATAAGCAGAAAAGAAAATATACTTAAATTTGTATTGGTTCCTATTTATTGGAATTTATTAATATTAGATTATTTTAGAGAGAAAAATAAATAAGCAGCAAAGAAAATTCAAATAAATTTTTTTTTTTTTGCTTATATTTGAAAATTTAATTAAATTTCTTTATGCTTCCTTTTCTATTTTTTTTTAATTTATCCCATACATACTCGTATAGAAATAGGAAAATTTTTACAAAGAAATTCGAAAAAAAAATAAGAAAATCTTTGTTGAATAAATTAAATGAAAATCCTACATTGGAATATTAAAAATGTCGAAATAATAAAAAAAATATTGAATAAAATTTATTTTATTTTATTTTCAAATGAAAAACAAAAATAATACAAAAAATATTTTTATTCTTTTCCTCATTTTGTCGTTTTTTTTGTGGTCTTAAAATAATATTTGTTTCTGTGTTTATATTGAAAAAAAAAAATAATAAATGTAAATTTAATTTTGAAAATTTCGCAATTATCAAATTAAAATTTAATAATTTCTTATGTAATTTAATTTAAATAACATCGATTTTATACAAAACACTTGTAAAATTTAACAAATATTATTAAAGATTCTTATGTTTTTCTCTATATATTCTGTAGAAATTTTTAAAGAGAGACATTTACGAGTATTTTATGTCTGGTAATTGAGAATTATTTAAATTCTCTAAGAATCGAGAAAGAAAATTAAAATAATTAATTAGATGAGAAATTTTGAAAAATTTATAATAGAACAAGTAAAAAAGTTTCAGTCGGTTTAAACTGACAGAACTATACCCAGCACCTTAAGAATTTAGATCTAGTTTTCATGATTTTATGGCATTTACCCGAACCTGACAAACCATTCCGCAAAAACTTCACGGATATGTCCAACTTATAATTGGAAACACGACTGACAAATTTCATGAAAGTAACTTTATTACTATTCGGAATTAGCTTTTGGAGTTGTATGGCAGGGCAGCTACCCGAACCAGTTCAGTCATTCCATTAAAATTTTTAGAGCATATGTAGTGAGTTGTATGACAGCTACCCGAACCCATTATCCAAATTGGTCTAATTACATTGGGTCCGTCCTTGATACACAAGAAACAACTTGTGCAAGTTTGTTCGTATTTAATTCATTCGCTTTTGAGTTATCGTGCGATTGGATGGACGGACGATTGGATATGTCTAAATTTAAACAAAATTTTATGCTACACAAGAATATATACATATGTCAAGATCGCAGATGACTCCTTCAAATGATTACAAACTCCGTTACAAAGTTAATATACCCTTCGCGAAAGTATTGGGTATAAAAACGAACAAAATGATGCTTGATCTAATGGTGTAAAGTGATGCAAGTCAAAAATTTTTAAATTTTGAGTTATTAAATCAAATTTAGTTTTTGCAGTTCAATTATTATTAATTAAATGCAATATTTCACACAAGACAAAGAGCCAACCAATACTTTCAGTAGTCTTAAAATTTTTGAAATCAATTATAACAAAAACTCAAATTCTAAATTTTCTAAATCCTTTAACATCAACTATAACTTGTTAATCTCACTTGAGAGTTTCTGAAATATTAAAAGAAAACATACAACATACACAATACACATGCAAATTTTGATTTCACTGATTATCTTAAGTTTTTATTCAAAATTCTTTCCTTCAAATTTTATTAAAAAAATATGAAAAATCCTTAAAGTGTTATTCAATCTTCTTTATTATGTTGACAATCATTGATCCTTTTGATAAGTCACGGCATGGAAACAAATCCGGAAAAAAAGGGGAAACAATCTTTGTGTCTGTCAAAATTGAAAATTCTATTTTATTTAACAGAAATGTCAACATTTTTTTTTGCCTTTTTTTCCAAATTTTGCAATATTGAATTTTCTTTTTACTTTTTAATATTTGTCTTACCCTCCTGGTTCAATATTGCCATTTTTTTTTTAAATATTAAGAATGTGAAAATAATTTTTTTTTCTTCTTTTCAAAATTTTCGAAATTAACTTGAAAAGTATTAGAAGAAATCTTTTGAGAATTTGAGTTTTATTTTTTCTCTCTTATTTTTCTGTTAAGGTGCAGTGTTAGATAAGTGATCTTTAGTTAAGTCAAAATCAATTTGTCATTCAATTGAAAATCATGTTTTCTGGAACCATAAGCATTTTCAATTTAATTAAAAAAAAATTTTTTGGTTTCATTTTAAACGAGAAAAAATAGAATTGACCTTGTCAACTCTGTGATACCCGTACGAATTTCTTATCCTATGTGCGAATAAATATGCCATGACTGACTATGGGACAGACCATGACTTTAAGTTGCCGTACTACCATATTAATTTATGCAAAATTTCAGTACTATGTGTTTTCAAAATACTGTGTATGCCAAACCACTATTGAAGTTGCATAGCAAATACCAGAAGGAGTCAAGTAATTTGAACGACTTTTATCAGACAAGTTAGCCCTACTAATATATTCGCTTGTGTATGGCAGCTACCCGAACCGGCACCCCGATCAAGTCCAATTTCAATAGGGTTCTGGCACTTACTTCAATAAATCATTTGTGTTAGTTTTTCAGTTATTGTTGGGACGCTGATCAAAAACATACCCCTGAGTCTATATCTAAGACCGTTTTTTCTTAGCGTTACAAACGGTAAGGCAAATTTAGTATACCCTTCGAACATACATTCGTACGGGTATAAAAAGGAATTTAATATTTTTCTTTTGTAATTTTCAAACTTTTTCAAAATTTTAAAAGAAAATTTAAAATGTTTAAAAGGTGTGATTTTTCATTTTCGTAAATCAAATTTAATTATGATTTTAATTGGTAATTAAAGAGATTTTTAAGTACAGCTGATCCCTAATATATTGGGAATATTAATATACATAGGGCTCTTGCAATTTCAGACCTTAACATCACTATAATAGTGTAGTGTTATGGTTGCCCTGGCTAGATTTAAGCGAATTAAGTTTAAATATTAAAATAATAGAACAAAATTTTTGTGATTTCATGTATAAAATTAAAATTCGAGAGATGCGATTTTACTGAAAACCTAAAATATATTAACAGAGAGAGTAATTAATTATAATCTTAGCCCTAATTCTACAGTAGATCTTTAGCTACATACAAAATTTTAAACTAAGAATACTAAGTCCATTTTCCTCTATTGTTTGCCTGTGAATTTACTTCTTTATTATTTTTGGTCTAATAGACATGAATGAATGTTAACTAAAAAAAAATATTAATAACAAATTTTTGTTGTAGATTTTAAGTTTTGCATACTCATTTAAGAAAAAATATCCCACAAACTAAAAATTTTTCATATTTTTACTTAAAAAATGCATAAAATTTTAGAACTTTCTAGAATTTTGCAAATATTTTTCTTAAATTGTTGATTTTTAACTTTAACCATTTTGTAACAACTAAAAACGAGCAACAAAAAAAATTTTCATTTAAATTTCCCAACAAAATAAATACAAATTTGAACAGAAGTGCATAATCCGATTATATGGTAAAATTTAAAAAAAAAAATAATTATTTTTTTAACAAATTTAATTTTTAACCTTGTAATTGGCATAAAATTTTACTCATTTTTTTAATGGTTTTCTCTATTTAAAAATAAAAACGAATACAAACAAAAAATAATAATCAATTTTATTTGTTTTCAACACAACAATAAGAACATAAACAATAAAAAGCATTAAAATCAAAACAATTGATTTGAAAAAGTCAAAAAAAAAAATTATTTACCAGAGGTCCTTGACTTCAAACAACAACAACAACATATAAGCATACTGTTGAGTTGCTCAAGTTCAATAATAACAGTTTTCTTTTGTTTTCACTTTAAAAGATACGAAAAAATCGTAAAACTT